AAAAAATAGAATATAAAATACATTCCATCCAATTCCTCATCTTCCTTTACATCATAATAGTAATCATTTATTAATATACGGGTTAATGAATTTCTTCAAAGCAATAAAAATATTATGTCCTCTCCATCCTAAAACACAGATAATATGTGTAAGACGTGTCAATCCCTACATCTCCCTGATGCATAATGCAATTACTATAACAAATAATGTCTTTTAAGTCCAAAAATCATAAAAACTAGTAATGTTTATTGTTTATCATTTTGACTGGCGGAGATATCTATCTGTCACTCGCAGGGTTGCCAAGTCTAATGACGATCACGTCCCGTGGTGGAGGGTGCGAAATGAATCTATTACATTTGCTGGTTTTGCATTTTTTTCGTGAAAATTTACTAGGCATCATGATTATAAGCATCTTTGGTAGATTATTCGATCCGGAATGGGAAAGATGTCCTATCTATGAAAATATTTTTGGTATCATCTAACCGTTGAAATCAGTGCACACACACTGTGAAATATGATTTATGGCATAACCCGCTGCCCTATCAATACAAATTCAACATACAGGTCGCCTAGCCGTGGGGATTCAGTGGTCGGGATGAATATCACTGTAGCCGCTGACGATTTGGGCATGCCTGGTAACAACGTATGAAGTGAAACTCGCTAACTTCACAAATTTAAAGATTTTGTACAATTTCTTTGAAAATGATGAAAGATATGTCTGATTTGGCAGGGCAATGTCGCAGCCAAATGGTTGTCACTCTATCTGACACAGTCCGGATCGAAAGATGACGATACTCGTGAAATGTATCGATACTTCTAAATATAGGATCGTATCGAACATCCCTACTGTCCAGATGTATAACCCAAGGTACCGACGGAGCTATTTTGCGGCGTCATGGAAATAATTTTAAATTTTTATTTGCATTTTTCCAGGTGTTGTGCAATGATTTTGGGAAAAATGTCACGAATAGTCTTATAAAGTATAGTAGAGTATATTTCAACAGTTGGCGGAACTTACTCCACTGGGACCAGGAGGGTGAAACGGGATATTAATGCACAATCCGGCAACCCTGTCGCACCCTCACAAAATGGCCGCTGACAACCACACAAGTCACCGTGTTATCATTGAGTAGCATGGAATTAAACCTTCAGGGTATATGTTTTGTGACTGGTACCAAGAGTTGACAGATCCCACACATGTGTTACTCCTGGAAATGCAATAATCAGCTGTATTCATATAATGTCTAATATAAATATAACCTAGAATGTGCACTCGTGAAAAAAGAAAAATATGGCAAATTTGTAGTTTTTTTTGCATGTTTTAGGTTTGCCGGTAGCTTTAAGGCTTATATTTGGGAATTTCTTAATCGCTCTGAATATAGTGTGGATGTTTGTTCAGTTCCTAAACAACGAAAAATATTCAACTCTGTGGATGTATGGATATCAAAAAACGTGAATGGTTTTGTGGGAATATCACTATAAGGTGCCATAATGGTTCTGATGAACGGCAAGTAAATGAATGGATGTTTCGAAACGAGCAATATCTTTTGGTAGAGCCTGTCATCAGGTTGGTGCTTAATGGCTATCTGCAAGAGGTTTATAGGAAAAAGCACCCAGTATTGCATATCAATTGAATAATATAAACATGAATAAAAAATCAGCAATAGTAATTAAAACATGAATTTTATTCAAAAACCCAACATTTCATTAAATTTTGACTGAATTATATGTAATTTCTTAATATTCAATAAGCTCAATGACAAGCTGTCATCTCAAACTTCGACAGTATTTTGTTTTCAACATTTCATAGCTATTGATTGCTAAAATTTGTTGATTGGAACTTGAAGCTCATTTGACGTATTTGACGGTCTGTTACCCTATAGGTGGAGAATAACGGACTGTTGTTGGTGAAATTGGCCCTTCATCGAAGATCCTTAGGTATCAATGAGACCTACAAAATGAAATGACCCGTAAAAAGATCCTACTAATAGCAAAAAGGTTATGGCCGAAGACCGAGGCAAACAGCAGGTTTTGGCACTTGTTGGTAATGCGACAAAGATACAATTATTTAAAATTCTCCAAATTCGTAGGATTCGTACGTCTCAATGACAACAATATTGGAGTAGATTGGTCGAATAGTTTTTCAAAATTTCTAATTGTTTATCTCAAAACATCTATTTTCCGGCCATCACTACTAGCTCATTGAACAATATACAGGGTTAGTTCAAACGGCATTTAGTAGCAAAATACACTAGTTTACCTTGGCGATATGAATTGTACACCATTCCAGAAGATAAATGTTATTTTTATGCAAAAAGGATGGGTTACGCTTTTTCTTCTAAACAAAAGATGATAGACACATCCGATTTATTTTAAAATGTGTATAGTAACGTATGTTTCCCAAATATCGTAGCGCATTTGTTCCATTACTCACAAATACGAAATGTTTGAATTTATTTAGAAGAAAAAAACGTAACCTTTGCTTTTCACATAAGAATAACGTTTATCTGTCGAAATGGTTTATGATTCATATCGGCAAGGCAGAAGCGTGTATTTTGCTATTGTATGTTCTGACCGAACCCTGTATATTGCTCAATAAACTAGTAGTGATGGCCGAAAAACAGGTGTTTAGGGATAAACAATTAGAAATTCTCAAAAAACTACTTGACCAATATACTGCAATTTTCTTGTTATTACTTAGAAGTATGAATCCTATGGATCTGAAGAATTCCAAGTTGTTGCGGGAAATTATGGTCGCATTACCAACAGGTGCCAACACCTGCATTTTACCTCGTTTTTCGACCACAATTTTTTGCTATTAGTCGGATCTTTTTACGTATGGTCTCATTTCGTAGTTCTCATAAATACTTTATACGAAATGTTTACTCGTTCCTGTCAACATTTTCGATTGGATCCCAAAAAAAAAACGTTTTCTCATCCTTGTTGTCGAATTAAAAGTTTTCCTACCAAAATTGGTCTACCTATTTTATGCGTCCATGTTTTATATACCCTTTTGAACAAGTTGCATCAATAAAACCCGACCTTACAATTATTTCGCAAACCAGGGGTATTTTCGTCTAATATGATTAGACTACATAATGTGATGATTCATTGGAGGAAAACTCGAACAAGCAAAATCAATTGGCATCGAACCATCTCCCGACCGCTATCCGATGTGAGAGTGCCTGTTAACGAAGTGTTGTCCACTATTCGGACAGTCATCATCCATAGGGCATGAAGAATTGAAATGTATAACACACCTGATAAGAATCACAAATATAGTTGCACATGTAAAAGATTAGCGTCCATAGATAGCGAATATCTTATATGTATTTCAATGCATCTCTTACTTCTTAGTATATTTTAAGATCTCAAGTAGGAACTGTTGCGATGATGCTCTCCAAAATAGTAAGTTATACAGGGTGACTTTGAAGTTGAGTCATTAATTTTCAGATAATGATTGTAGAAGGACGATAAACCAAAATATGTGTGTAAAAATAAAAAAAAAATAAAAAAAAATGTTACCTTGTTTTATAAAGTATCCTCCCGACAAGTATTTCAGTGCGGACCTGTATTTGATCGTGCGGTCTTGGAGCACCGGCATGCCCTCCCCTGTGAGATCTGAAGTCACCTGATTCACGAGCCCTTTGTGGTACATTAACAAAGGCACGAGGGGTTGGTTTTGATTTCGTTTGAGCCACGCAACAGACACCACTATTCACTCACGCGTTACCGACTGACACTGACTGTATACAACTGAATAAAATAATTGTAAAAACATAGTTCCAAATTCTTTCGCTTTTTTGTTTCCGATGCGATGAACCGATAAGACGGATTATATCCGTTGTTGCCAAACACGAGCACATAATATTATTATTGAGACAGGGCGGTACTCAAACTTCCAAAGGGCTATAACTTTGTTACTTTAATTTTACCAGAAAAATGGTAAAGGAAAAACACATTTCTTCTGATCAGATCTACTCACTGTTAAAATAAATGACTCAACTTCGAAGTCACTCTGTATATTCTAAAAAGAGTGCATTTTAGCCAAAGAACTCAAAGTCGCTAACTTTGGGCTTTTAAACAACAAACAAACCCTGTATATTGGTCAGTAAAATAGTAATGCCGGCCGGAATTCAGGTGTTTTGGGATAAATAATTAGAAATTCTTAAAAACTACTTGACCAATCGGCTCCAATTTTGTTGTGGTTATTTAGAAGTATGAAGCCTACGAATTTAAAGAATTTCAATTATCGTCAAATCAGCAGTAGTAGTATATTTTTACATGTGGACACATTTTGTGGCTCTCGTAAATAACAAAAAACGGGTTTTCTCATTCTTTGTTGTCGAATTAAAAGTTTTCCCACAAAAATTGGTGTACCCATTTTATGCGTCCATGTTTTAAATAGTCCCTTGAACGACTTGCACCAATAAAACCACACTTTACAATTATTTCGGGGTAATTTCCTAATATAATTAGATTATAACATCCGATAACATATTATCTCATTCTGCAACTACAATACGTTCTCTCTAGTAGACGTGAGGGGTAACATACGTGTGTGTTAAACAAATAATTTGATGTGAAATAACATTTCGAAAGCTCATCAAATTCAGAGTCGGATACCTGAGGCGGTTAACTTGTAGGTATTTCACATTCAGTCCAAGAGCATCACCAGATATTCGGTATTCTGCAAAATAAATATTTGTGGTATCTTCACTGAAAATTCTCAGCGTAAGAAGAAAATACCGTTTCCGGAAGACGATGGCTAAACAGGGAACGAAATCATATTACACATGACTTAACAGACACACCTGTATTACCTTTTTCTACCGGCACAAGAAGTTCCTCCTAATGAAGTACATAAAGTTCTCCGCATTATTTAGATACACTCTGAAAGGAGGATAAGGGCCCTTTTTCGCCCATAACACACGCAAAAATAAAAAGTTGTATTCCAGACTACCATTGAATTTATTTGTGAACTTCAAGACGTGCATTTTATCGTTATATAGTATTTACGGTATAAATATTGGGTGAGGTGAATAAAAGAGAGTAAATGCTTTTACTTCATAATTGTAAAGTAAATTCTTGGTAGTAAGTGATTAATAAAACTTTTACTTGTACTTGTCAAGCAAACACTTGCTATCTCGAGTTGTTACTCCTAAAGTAACTATTTTGAGTGTTCACTTACGATTATAGTGAATAACAGTAATAGAAAATTTTACGTATTAAGTAAATACTTTCATTTTCGCAAGGTTGGTTTGATGTTACCTTGCCGCAATTGATAATTTGAGGTGTCTAAATTATGGCAGCACTTATGAATATACGTAAAGTTAAACAATATCGTAATCGAAAAGATATAAGTCCAAATAGTGCAAAACGTCTTTTAAGATTTGAAAATGAAAATATCGATTTCATTACAAACTATTTCTTACCAGAAACCAACGAAACTCGAGGTGGTGCTGTGTCCTCAAGAAAATATATTGATATATTTCTCGGGTATATTAGTGACCCTTGTTTTCAAAGACGTGTTACAAACGATTTTGGTATTGAAATAACAACAGTTTGTAAGACTGTAGATTATGTTGCACAAAAAATTATGGAGAAGGTAGGTCAATGGATAGTGTTTCCAACAACCGATCGAGATTTAAACGAAGCAAAGACAAGTTGGATGGCAAAATACAGGATTCCCAACGTAATTGGCGCACTTGATTGTACCCATGTACAAATTAAAAAACCTGAAGGGCAGTTTGGCGATGAGTAAGCACATAAATAGGAAAAATGTTGCTTCATTAAATGTTCAGATGACATGTGATGCAATGGAAAGGATCACAAGTATAGACGTGCACGATAGTAGCATTTGGAGACAAAGTGCTGTTCAACAAGATTAAAAGGGAATGCTTGCTTGCTAGGGGACAGCGGATATGGTATATCTCCATGGCTTTTAACATCATTTAGACAACCACAAACTGAATTAGAACGGCGGTACAACAGATTACATTCAAAAGAAAGAGTTGTAATACAAGTGTATTTGGCCAACTAAAACAGCGCTTTCCAATTCTAGCAAATAGGATTAGACTCGCAATAAGGAACGTACCGAAAATAATCATATGTTGTGCTGTACTTCATAATATTGCTAAGTATTTGCAGGATGAGTGGGACTATGGAATAGAAAATAATAACGACGATCATGATGCTGTCCCAGAAATTATTGAGCAAGACCAAGGAGACATTAGGCGTCTTGGTGAAGAAAAGCGCTTAGAAATAGTCCAAATAATAAATCAGTTTAATTCAATTTAAATAACAACATATGTTTCCAACATATTTATCATAGGTAATAGGTATCAAATAAAAATTATGTAACTCTAAGTACAGTTATTCTAATTAACACGATACTATATCTACTCGTACCAAAAGTTTTGATACACATTATACATGAGAAATTATAGATAAATTCTAATTATTCATAAATGTGTTAGAAAACTTACTTTAACAAAAGAAGATCTTGCAATCTAAATTCCGAATTAACTAAAGGATCGTCATTCTTTTGGGTATTAATAGCTTCGTCTTCTTGCCGACGTAGGTTTTTCAGTTGGAGTTCCTCTTTCTCAATTTGTAGTCTAGTTAGTTTCAGCTGCTCTAGTAGTACTAAGCGTAACATTTAACTGTGTGGGAAGTAAAACACATTTATTACTGGAATCTAGCCCAACTGTTATTGCTCCTGGTATTTTACTATTTTCTTCAGCATTTAAAATTTCTCGAAAATCTTTTTCCCATTGAAGTAGCTTGATTGGTTTATTTCCTGTTGATAAGTAAGTGTTTTTCTTAACAGTGCTTTTCATATTGTTAAGAAGTTTTTTCAACTGATCTATATTTGAGTTTTTCCCTGTATATTTTATGAATTCCTCTCTAATTATCATCCAGGCAGTTTCTTTTGCTGAAACCATTTTTGGTACCATTGACTTATTTTCTATTATTTTATTGTTTTCTAGCTGCAAGATTCTGACTAGCTGTGCTCGGTTATCAGAAACAAGTTTCGGTTGTTTACTTTCTTCGACACTAGAAGACATCCTAATTGTTAGTAATCTTGAGCTTTCTTGTGTCCGAATTAAAAATAACTTAGTTAAACAAAATATACAGAAACCTAAAGAGATTTATACGACGCGTAAGGTTTACAAAGCAAATACTAAATAAAAAAAATAATAAATAGGACGATTTAAATATGTGAATAAGGATAAACAAGCTAAGTCTTGCACGCACTGCAGGTATTACCTCAATATTAACAAGTAGACCTTTCTGAGTCATGCCTTACAATTATTCACTCATTGCCAAGCATTTTCTTCAACTCTCAAGGCAACACTTTTCTCATAAGTAAATGCTTATGAAGTGCTTACTTGGTTTTATTCACCTCACCCAATGTAATATTCTACAGAAATTATTGCCAAGGAATAGAGTATTTAGCGCTTTTTGTGCATTTTTGTTGTTTTTCGATCTTTGAATCATGTTTTGCCTACAAAGCGTTCCATGGACCACATTAACTTTAATGCTCAGTGGGTTTACTTATTATAGGCTTGTGTATGAGTATTTATTTTATTAAAAAATATTTAAAATTATTGAAAAATACGTAATATTTGCTGCGGGAGAGTGTGAGTCACGCTGAAATCGCTGCGTGTTCAGACATGATTTTCCGCGCTTCGAAAAGTATTTACGTAGTGATCCGAATGAAGAAGACAAGGAAGAAGATTAGTAAAAAGTATATATTAAGGGTATGAAAAGTGATTATCTTTTATTATTGTTTAATGAACATATATACCACTCTCTTTTATTATTGTTTAATGAACATATATACCACTCAGATAATTATGTATACCACGAATTTAAGTTTTCATTTGAAATAAGTATGTTTTCTTCTTTGTTATGGAGTATACTTTTCATAAATATACTCGTATATGTCATATCTATTCGCTGATGGGCGAAAAATGGCTCTTATCAGCTCATCTCCTTTGAAGCGTTTCGTGTTTCAGCTCTTCGAATAATTTTAAGTGAACAAAGAACACATCAGAACTTTGAGATATCCTGGTAAGCATCCTAGGATGAAGCATACATTTCAAGCAACTGTATTTAAGACTAGAAACGAACAACACAGATTATTTATTAGCACACAAATGCTCACTATGCACCTATGAAAGGCCGTTTCGTTCCAGCTACGATATACAACTTACAGCTAAGACCTCCAGTAACGCCATCTCTGACGCAGATGCTCATCACCTCAAATCCGAGCATTGATACGTGAAGCGTTATGATGTTTAGGCAACACGTACATTTATAGAAAGAATGCATATCAAGTGAACAAAAGCTGGTTCTAAGTTGATGTCTTGTATAAAAACTTAGCCCTTTCACTGTCGGGACATATATATCCCATAGCAAAGAATAAACTATTATAAGACAAATACGTCCCAAAATCGCGTGTGATATGAGTGATCCAGTAAGCTTGATCATACAGGGTGGAGCATCGAAAACGAAACAGACGCATTTACTGGCAGCTCAGTTTTTTTTTGAAAAACACTCAGACCCGTCGATTTTGTTTTCGAGGGGGACACAAGTTTGGCAAAAAATGACGTTAGCACGTGCAGCCCCCTAAGCGAGAGTGACACCCCCAAAATCTTAAATGGAAAGGGGGGTCGAGTGATCCCTTATTTTAAAGGGCTTTCAATTCCCTTTATAATGATACTATCGAAAGAGGCCTCTGTCCCTGTTCATTACTCTACTTCACTTCCTCCTAATTCTTTCATGTTTTGGCTCAGGTAAACATGGTTTTCTGGAGCTGATATGCTTGTTTTTCTACGCCTAGGTACAATCTAGCGTTTTGCCAGTTTTGACCGTAAATCCTAGCTACGGAGCAGAACAGCGTTTGCAAATGTCGAGTAGCAAACCCTGTCTTACACTCCAACAAAATAATTCTCCTAATAAAAAACTTCTGGGTAGCGTAGCTTTGCCGTTATTCAAGATATTCAAAAGTTTCCAGTGCTATACTTTACTTTTCTGAGACTATCATTTTAAATGTCTTTCAAAACGTAGAAAGCATCCTCATTATAGTGGTAACATTAGAATACCATCAGAGCTAACAAAAGACTGTGCATTGTTGGTCATCCTAGAAGATACAAAGGATTGGTTTGAAAGACATTTTAACGGCTTCAGTAAAAGTCTACTGAATTGACCACTACTCACGCCTATAAAAATACCTAGCATCTGGCAACCCTACTGCAGCGATGAATGCACTTACAGTTGTACAATAACTCTACGTCATCTGTGTTCACATTCCAGCAGCTGCAGCTGAGAGCAGCATTAAAAAGAATAACTACACCAGACTACTGCTGCGTTTTTCCGAGTGGCAGCTTCGCCCATTAACCTGCTGGCCTTGCAGCGATGTACCGGTTGCTGTGAAGAAGGCTGTCTACGGATGCATCATGCTGGCCTGCAGTTTAGTCTTTGTTGGGATGTTGCTGCATCTGCTTGAGTACTCCAGTGACTACACCAAGTGTTTGGATAACATTTCGTCTATATCCACGATTTTCCAGGTGCTTGCATTAACTAAACGTACAACGACTGGTGTACAAGCAGAGCTTTCCAATCCAAATATATTATATATTTGGAATTGATGGCATCTATGAGATGTTTGCGTTCAGATGTTTTACCAAAGAAATAACTTTTTGTCCCAGTGTGTATTATGTGCTTTCCAACGCCTTTCTCAGGGCTTCATAAATGTGAATGAAGTGAAAAAACTCTGTTTAAAAAACTCACCAAGAGAATACACTAAAACATAAAATTTATAGACCAAACAAACAAGAACAATTGCAAAGAAAGTGCGTACGTACTAAACGTTCTTGTATGATAATTGTGACTTCATCAAGTTGAAAATGTTTTATTTAAAATGGGACACTACAAAGCAACGTACTAGATACCAGATGTAAAAAAATAACAAATATTCGTAACTGTTATGTCCAAAGGAAGCCAAACATCCCTTAGGTGAACTATGAAAATAAATAATGGAACATAAAAAACAAAACAAAGGGATGCTAGCTCGACTGCATTAACTGAAGCAAAACGAAATAATTCCGGACTGTTTGCCTCCAGATATATGTATACGAGGAAAAATCATGAATCCTGAGGAAATATTACACTGCTCAGGGTTTTAAATGGTTTAAATACTCATTCATTTTAAACATTCGTAAGCATCTGTCTTTTTATTTCAGTTCTTGATGGTTGTTTAAATGCCCAGTATTAAACTTATTATTTCTAGCGAACGCATAATCGCATTTCT